TGGACATTGGTCAAGGTCATCAGTTCCCGCAAGCAGCTAGCTATCAAGGCTCAACCTGTCTATAGAAGGTGTGGAATTGAAGGCCTGAATATATTGGTGCAATTAGTTTTTCCTCGGCTTTCAGTCCGCACGATTCAATCACCCTTGTAGTGACGTCGAAAAGATTGTTTCAATCGGCGCTTACATATGAAATTTAATGTGGATTATAGAATTTTGTGTATGTTACCAAATTTACGAATGGTTTTCCACTAAATGTTGAGATAATTTATTGATTATTGAATCATCACACTGTATACAATGAAAAAGCAGTCTATTTATGAGTTTTTGCCTGTTTTCAAGTAAGGAGTTATCATAAAAACAAATCGCCAGCTCGTATTACCCGGCGACTTTACAAATAAATGAAATCAAACAAAATCATCATGCAGAACTAGATAGGATTTGTTTTACTTCATATTTAATTAAATTGCTTTCGAGTGTTAAGACATCGTCTCCCGCAAAGTTTACATTTTTCCCTCTACCAACACATACATCAGGGCTAGGTAGATCTCCACAGGATCTATAGAATCCACGCAATTTCAAAAAACCAAAATGCACAGCATTACGAAAAGAGGTCAGGTTTTGACCAATAGCAGATAGATTTTAATTCTAAACAAGCCAAACGATTGGAAATGTATCTACCAATCTGCTTAAATGAACACTTAGTTAATTTTCAATAGGTCACTATTGAAAAACACCAAATGTCCAACTGTTGCAATGGTGATCAAAATTATCACAGAATGTCTGAAAACAGCGCATTCCCTAACACAGACTTAAAAATCGAATTCGATGCGGTCCCACTGAACGGTGCTCACCCAAGTAACATTGCAGGTTTTATCGTGGTTTTATAGCATTCTACAAATCTAAATCATGATCTACACAACCATCATAAAACCAAAATTGTTACTTGGGCATTCAATCACCGTAAGTGGTGGTGCCTAGTCCAGCAGCAGCAGGAGGAGTGCTTTCAACAACAACGAAAGGCTGCCTGCAAGCAGCAAGCTGCAGAGCTCATATGAGCAACCATAGAGAAGGAAGAAGAAGTCCCACCACTAGGCTAGGATCGGAATCAGTAGCTCGTCGTGCTCAGCTCAGCATTACTATACCATCACTACAAAACGGTCCTTTTCAGGACCACCATAAATTTGTTATGAGTATTATTTGGACATTTGTTAAGGTCATCAGTTCCCGCAAGCAGCTAGCTATGAAGGCTCAACCTGGTCTCTATACATGGTGTGGAATTGTAGGCCCGAATGTATTGGTGAGATTAATCATCGTCCGACCATTTTCCAGAACACGCTGGTAGGAAGTGTTAAAATTCCATATAGAATTTTAGAGAAGTGGGAATAATTCGCTTTGGGTGTATATTTAGTCCCCAGAAAGCCAATAAAATCAAATTTGTGAAAAAATTAGTTCTCATGAGTTCAATCTCTCTAAGTCCCTCCTTTTTTACATATTCTGCACAAACGGAAGGAAATCCTGTGAGGGGTGAATTGAATACACTTTAATACCAAAATGAACAAAACAAAATAAATAACAAAAAAAAAAATCAAAATACACCTTTTAAAGTCGGGTAGATGAATCGAAAATACTCAAGTTGACAGTCTCTTGGCTTCTCTTCATCAACTTTCTCTTTGAAATAAATACTACAAATTTGACACGCTTACAAATAAAAAACGGATACACTCTGATGAGACAACGAATCCTTGCCCCCAAGCTCCTCCCCTGATCCTATCCTTCGACAATGTACCTCTCTAACCTCGAGTAAGCCGCGAGTATTCGGCCCAACTCCTACTAGACATAGAATTAAGTGGATTTTGTTATAAACAAAGAATTTTGAACTATCGGCTCCGTAAAGCTAACGCGATTGAGCCTACCAAATAAACGAACTAGTTAAAAAATAAATAAAAAAAAGGATAACAAATAAAAAACGGAATAAGATAATTGCTGATTGATCAATTAAAAGAACTAAATGTTCACATTTGTTCCGTCCACTAGCGGTCCTACGTCAAGCTTCCGTTCGTGCCCCTAGGCACAGACCCTTCTAATTTTTCTTTTAAATATTAGCGGTTCTTTAGACATATACTGTATTGGTAAAACATGAGCAAAATATTCAAGTCAGATAATCCAGAAATCTACTCAATTTAAGAACATATCTATACAAATATCAACAAATGGAATAAAGTATTCGAAAACTCTTTTGGTTGTAATGCATAAGATACATTGAAGAATATTTTATAATGGCAATAATTCAGCCAGAACTTCCATCTTGTTAGAGCTTATAGTTGTCCGCACTAGTTTACTAGTTTTATAATTCAACGATATAATGTCACACAATGAAAGGAGCCAAATTGAACTGAGTCACATAACATATAAATTATTTGGAATAAGTCAGTTAACATTTAGAAACTGTTTAATTATGAAGTGACGGATTTTTCCGTTGGCTTGTAAATAATTGTATTGCATATACTACAATTGGCAAGAGTTCGAAACAGGCGACACCATGACTGTCACAAAGTCTTGATGGGAAATGTCGTCACACCCGCATTGCAGCGTGCGTGGCAACAAGCAAAGCATTTATTGTGTCATTGGGATCGTAAAATAATTCGAGTATACCAATAAAATGTCAAGTCCACACCGGACAGACAGAGAGTTATGTACAAATAATTAACGAATAAATTAATGTTTCATGCTTGACTTTAGCGATCGCTCTGCTCTAACTACAACAAAGTCGTAAACGTTACCTGATGCTAGACACCGAACGACAAATCTGCCGACCTTTCTTCTCGATGAACCCTGCTGTATAGAGTATTGTCGTTTGAACCGGTAGGAAAGAGCTCATCATAACGTCCGAGTCATAAATAAAATCTCCGTACACATATTTAATGGCAAATAGAATGCTTTTGCCGCCGCTTTCCAGAGGCATCATCACAAAAGAGCAATTCCGCCCGGTGAGATCTCAGCAGAGCAGTAGTGTTGCGCACCAGACGTTGGGACAAATTATGCAAATATCTGCCCGGCGATGATGTTATGAATGGTGACCGAACATATGTGCACAACAAACTGTCAGTCACTACTGATCAAAACCGCGACTAGTGGAGACGCGCGCAACTCGATTTATAAGCAGCAGCAGCAGTTCCAATGTCAACCATTTGACTTTTTCCAGTGAGATGCTTATAATTATGATTGAGTGGATGCAATTCTATTCCATGTTTTTTGATTGTTGCTCTTGGATTTTCTATCTCTTGAATATTATTTTTCGCTATCTCACCGCTATCTTACGCTGGGTTGATTTGAGACACGTGATTGTCGTCTCGCCGGAATTCTCAAATTATCTCCGCCAAGCAACTTGTTTGCGAATCTTCACCGACGGTTGCGAACTTCGCTGTTTTTGTCGTGTTTTGTCACTTGGATTCATTTCAAATTTTGAACTTTTTGGTTCTTTCCAATTGAATACTGAAGGTTAATTTATTGCTTCTTTCAAGACACTATGAAAGTTTCCGCAACTTACATTGCATACGCTTTCTGGAAAGATTAAATGTGCTACTTGAATTTCCAAATAATATGCTCCTCGGGGAAACTTGTCGCATTCTATTTCACCTATCCAATCGTAAAGATTAAGAAAACATCTATTTGCCGTTTTTCTCGCCAACGGACTGCACTTAATAGAGTACGGCAATAGAAAAAAAAAATTATGCACGCTATCGTGCTGAAAAATAACGAGCCTCCGTTCGAGGAATTTCTGGGCAATCCCTTGACACCGAAAGTGGCTCGATTTCACTCCTCCCCCATAAAGGATACTCAGCTGCACGTTGTAGTCGTCCTTTTTGATGCAATCAATTTTTCAACTTGGCCTACGTCACTTGGCGGTTCGTTTTACGGCGTGCTCAAATTGCTCCAATCGATTGCATCCATCACACCATTCGGCTTCAGATGTACCTACCTAGAAATATAAATTTCATTTTTATTGAGCTTCAGCTTCTTGGAAACATTTCATATTAATCAGTATACCAATTTTGGCTAGGAAACTCATTTAATTTAGTTGGCAGCTCAGATCATTCCTAATATGTGTGTTCAGGTTTTCAAAAATTGTTTCAAAATTGAGATGTAGATTTGTGTGCATCTTTGTTTTTTTTTTATAAACATCATTACGTTTTATCTGCGCAAATAGGGCTCAAACGCACTGCATCACTAAACTAAAAAATATCCGTGTGTTCGTTTTAACGTTAAATGGAATCACGTTTTTATACTGTTGATCGAAAGACATTTTGTGCTGGGGAGTCTTCTGACTAGCTGGTGAATTTACCGCAAAATACACTAGAGATGGGCAAACAGATCTGGATCCGTTCAAATGATTCAAAAGCGTTCATTATTCATAAGAACCGGATCATCGGCTCACCAGAGCTCACCAAACCATTAAATGATCAAACATGACTTGTTATGCTTGGTGGGCTCATAAAAAGGGCTTAGTAGCATTATTAGTTTCACAGTGCCAGACCTGTTCTCCTCGACAACTAGCCAATGAATATTTGATGACAATGAGTTTCTTATGAAATTATTCTGCGTTAAATGGAGAACCGTCTCAAAGGCTACACAGTTAGAAAAAAATCATGTAAATTTAGGTGCTCAGAGACTAACATATACGAGCGTCCATTTTGACATAATATTCAGTCACAACAGACGTGAAATTCAGCTCAATCAAATGTACTTTTCGTTGACTAACGAACTTTTCAGTCTCTGAGCATTCAATGTTACATGACATGTTTGTATACGTCTCATCCTTTTTGTCAAAGATGGATTCCATCACGAGTAAAATTAGCAATTTCTAAGTGTGTAGGTTAAACTGTTCCGAAGAACCGTTGATAAAGTTCGGATCACCTATATTCATGAACCGGTTCTGACCCGTTCACCTAAGTGGTCAATTGTGGCCATCTCTAAAAAACACTATCATTAATCATTGTTAGCCCTTTCCGAGCGCAGTGTCGGCGTGCGATAAAAACATTCCGGTGTGAAACGAGGCGACTATCAACCGACTAAGAGAAAAGTGTTTGCTGATTCCTGTCGTCGGAGAGAAAAAAAAAGGGAAACAAGTGCGATAAGGGGAAGAAAAGCAGCGAATGTTGAAGGTGGTGTAGTTCCAAAATATTTACGCAATGAACGAATTTCGGTGCCGATGGTTCGACGGTGGTAGAAAACTACTTCCAGTGGATTGAAAAGTGGTAGTTTCGGTGGTGTAGAGAAAGGGTTCCAAGAGTGTGAGAAAAACGGAAAAAAATAATAGCGTAACTTAATCTGCCCTGTTAATTAATCAAACCATTATGCGATGATTATACGCGCTAGTGCGACGACTAGGACCACCTCGACCACTAGCACCGTAACAGCCGACAACACCTACTTTTCCGGATCCCGAGAGATTGTCGCCACCACCCCTTCTACTGCCTGCACCTTGTGTCGGGAAACGGCTGTCAGCATTACAACAGCATGGTCACAGCCAACCGGAATGCGTCGGTTATTTTTGGAGGAGTCGCCCTGCTTCTCCTGGGGTAAGTTGTGTAACCTTGCTTACTTCTCTTATGTATATAACCCGGCGTACGATTGAGTGCGTCCGGATCAACCGAATGGAAGCGGTGATCCGAGTAGAACTCAGATTTGTTTTTATTGTTTCAGCCCTTTCAAATGTTTTCCTCAATTCTGATTTTTATTTGTCTCATGTAACGGTTTTCGAATAATGCCCTGACACTCTGCTGAATATCAAGCAAACACATTGAGGCTGCAGAACAGCGAAACCGATATTTTGATCCACCTCAAAATGTCGATTTCGCTCCACCCCGCTCAATCGATTCTAAATCAGGACCTGATCATTTTCCTTAAATTTGAGCTCATTTGGTTGCGGTCTCATGCTGCACTGGCCCTTTGAAGTTTATATGGGAATCATAATGGGAAAAGTGATCTTTCTGTTCAGGTTAGGATGAACCTTTCACCATTAGTTTATTTAAATAAAAAATAAACGATTTATGGACAAACTTGCTATCTCAGTGGCACCGCCCAAGTAACAATTCTGCAATAATTTGGCATCCACTCTGATTTACGATGGTTTTATAATAGGAATGAACAATCTTTTTAGTTCAAATACAGCATTTCACAGTGTAAAACGTTCCTGATTAGTAGTTTACCTGTTTGTTGTTTAAAAAACCTTTTACCTGTCTTGTTTTAAAATTAAATTTGAAGTAGCTCTCAATCCCACCATAAAACTGTTCTATAAATCAATCATAAATTTCATTAGCGATTTTTTATTAATGTCTTCATAAAATACTAAAAATCATTACCATTAGGTTTTAAATGAGAGCAAAAAGCCTTGTTCCTTTTAGATTTTTTAAAGTGTAAGTATCATAAAATCTCCTCTGTTTACAAATTGAACTTAAAAGATGGATGCTCATAGTGAATAAAAGCCAAATTTATGACAAGGATATCTCGAAGGATAAACGAAATAGGATGAAAAATTCAAGCGATGCTAACGACCGAAGGGAAGTCGATTTTAGTAAAATTTAGTTCTTTAGAAGAACCAGCACGTCCGGCTGAACGGGTACCATCAACGACTGAGCATCTGGTGGAGAAGAGTGAAGTGAGCGTGGTCCTCGAATTCATAAAACATTGTCAAAACAGTCTGAAAACAGACGAGCCTTCTCCAGACCTTGCGAATAGATGACGATTGGAATAACTTGCGTCAGTACCGACCGACAGCAAACCACTGAAACTGTCATTTAGTGGACGCGATTTTATTCGGCGACAGGGTCATCTCTTCGAAAAATTTAATTCAACCGTACATTCCTGCATTGTTTGATGGTGCAGTTCCAGAAGCATCCGGAAGAAGGGGATCTTTTTCGGGAATGATTGAGGTTGCAGGCAGCGTTCCCAGTTTGTTTTCATGATTATCGGTATCAAATGATTAAAAATTCGGTATTTATCGGTATTCACTATTTTAATTATTTTTCTTTTTTTTTTTTTGACTAAAATCGAAAAATGTTTATGTATCAATTTGACTGATATTCATAAAACATCCCTGAATATTCCACAATGTTCCTGAAGTTTTCGTAACATTCCTGAATTGTACTTCGGAATATCCCATAATTCTTCGGAACTCGTTGAAAGTTCTTGCAATTTTCCTAAAATTAATGGGCTGTTTTGAAGTTCTCTGATCATTCTCGTAGTGCTCGTAACTTCCCTGATTATTTTGGAACTACCGGAAAATCTCTTATTTTTTTATTTTTCCAAAGTTCTCGAAACTGCCGATAACAAACACAGAACTTCTCTTAAAATGTTCTTACAATTTTCTAATATTCGTGTAACTTCCTTTACGTTTTCAAAATTTTCATGAACCTCTCTAATCCAGGGGGAACGACACTCATTCAAATGAATTTTATTTTACCATGCTTGCCTGTAAACATAATGTAATTGAAGAATTTTTTTGAATTTGTCGCCTTGACGAAAATAGAGTAAGGATAAAAAAAAAATATATATATATGGGATTCCTAATGGGATTGCATTGGATACGAGGGTGCTTTAAATTGTCATTGGGATGCGTGCAACTGAAATGAAACAGTACGAAAGAAAAACATCAAAGTAGCCATTTTAGTCAATGCTCAGTGAAAAATAATGTTTGGATGGTGACAGCTGGCAAAAACCTTTAATTCTAAACACGCAAACGAAATTTGTGAAAGTCAGCAGAAGTGACAGGAGCTGCAGGAATAGAAGCATCGCGGATTCGTGTAGCCGTCTCCGAGGCTGGAAAACTCGATTCGGTCCCGAAACTGTGATCTTCACAACCGATTTTCAATTCTCCACAGATTTACTTAAAAATTCTACCCTGAATTTAAACTCACAAAAGTTACTAGGAGTAAAAGTCTAAAATCTCTTAGAGCGCTTTCTAAAACTACCTTTAATATCATCTAAAATAACTTGTTATCCCTGATATCCATTCTAAAATCTAAAGTCTACTCAAAATTCCAAAAAAGTTTAGTCTGGTCCAAGAATCTTAAAACTTTTCGAAGCCCCAAAATCCTTTTTTCTGAAAAATAGATTAAGTATTTTTTTCACCGATTTGTCATTGAAATTTCCGGCTTTTGCCTGATTTCCCGGTTCACTGATCATCCTGCTCATCCCCCTGCCCTAAAAATATTCGATCGACTCTCCACAAAGGAGAGAACGAGATATATCGTCGGATTCGTGCAATTCTGCCACCACTCAAAATCTGTGAATTTACACATTCAACGTTTAAAAATGTGGGGTTCAGTTTCAGTTTTATGATTCTTTTCATTACCGGACTGAATCGAGTCTGTTTCATTAATTCTTTCAAATTCAGATTAAAAAATAAACAGTTCAACGATTTTTACTGCTTCTTATTTAAGATGTTCTAATTTTTAATTTTTTTTTTGTCTCCTCTATGACGCGCTTGATGTATTTGCGCCCGCGGCCGATTATGGTCCGTCATCTATTTTAATTGAAGCTCCCCCGGGAATCCAATCAAGAAATCACTTCATCCATGGCCTTCAGCATAGATATACGTGGATGTTCATTCCTTCACGTTTCAACTTTGATCATTTCTACCAGCTTCGCCAGGACAATCGCCACCTTGAACGACTCAACGCGTATCACATTTTTTAACACCATGTTTATTATCGAGATCGTTGAAAACTGACAGTGCTTCGCGATCGACCTGAAAACTGCACGGCTTGCTTGATGATTTGTGTGCATGCAGAAGGGATAAGATGGGAATAGAAAGAATAGATAGGATGGATTGAAATTTTGTGCACGTTGAAAATTTTAGGAGTGATTTGGTTAAAAATGGGATAATCCTGAAGTGTCGTTCCAAATGCTCTAATCTAATCTAATCTAATCTAAGACAAACGCAGCCAGTACGAGAAAGCATCCTGGAAAATGATTAGGTTAGATGAGGTCTAATCATTTTTCTTGTCTAATTGATGTTTACAGCACATCTGGGATATGATATAAACATCAATACGGCCAGGCCTACTGCGTTGTATTTGCCGCAAAGATGATTCTTGGAAATGAATGGGAACATTTCTTGAATCTACAGGGGTGGAAGGATGCGTGGACATACCATGCCAAACGCTCCGAGTTACTATGTGTAGTTGTGTGTAATGTGTAAATATTTGTACAATATTGAAGAATCATAAAATAATGCAATGGAAGGATCTTACCGATTTTTTTTCCTATGTTAGTAATGATTTTATTGCGCTTAAAAGTTTCATTGGATGCAGCCGGTCCTTGTTTATCATGGGGTTTTGGATGCAGTTTCTTGTCATTGCTCGTGGTTATGTTTAGTGAAGTGATCATTTCTTTCACTAGAAACTACTACTCCTGGCTGATCCACCAGCCTTGCATTGAGCTGGAACCGCAAGCAAGCAAATCAATTGCCTCCTCGCTCGAATCCTTCGTTGTGAGTGGTTCCGATAGATACACGCCACTGGATATACTTCCACTGGATATCACCGTTACCTCCTGGACTTATTTTGTAACTTCTGGCTTCCGGATCGTTATGCACTTGTAACTAAACCCAAACGGACACGATTCAACAGCGTACATTAGAAAATTCAGCGGAGATCTGCTTTTTCGCAACGTTTCACTGTGGTGGCGAAGGAAGAAAAAACCCGGTTTGTTCACTCGCGGTAATCTTAAAAACTCTTTCAATCCATTTTTTTTTTAAATAAACAAACACAGCACTAAAAAACACACGCGAAATTATTGAAAAAGTTTTCAAGTGTCGAAAATGCACCAGCTAAAGGACTTATTGCACTAAATTTTCAATAAACATCTCGGAAAAAAAGCAGCAGCAAATTCAAAACACGTCAGTTTCAATGCACGGCCTACCTCGATCCAAAATTTTCATAAACCTCTCGGATCTTAACTGAAGTTTTCGAGAATTCCCGGAACTTATTTAAAGGATCAGAAATTTCCTTGAATTTATATGTCCTAATTTTTTTTTGTTATTACTTTATTTGTACAGGCTCAATCGAATAAACTTTACAGAGCCGAGTTATCCTTTGCGTTATACATTGTTACTGTCTTATATTTAAAGTTAAAGGAACTGGACCGAGTACTCGCGGTCGTCTCGAGGTTAGTGGAGATTTACAATTTTTTGGATGGGAAAAGGGAAGAAGGAGGTTTTAAATGTGGTTTACGATATAACTATTTAATTAATCCTAAAGCATGAAATTATTTCTATTCATCTTGAAAACAAACATTGAAAAAAAAAACCCCCCAGACGTACAAAATACAAACTAAGCACAAGGTTAATCAAACTTACAATCTAAGGTTAATATCCTTAAAGTAAACATATATGAGTTTCATAAACTCCAGATCGCGTCTAGCCAAAATATCCCGAACTGGAACATTAGGTTGTCTACCTCGAGCCCGAAGGGAATCATAAAAATGTGATCTGACTCCACGATACTCCGCACAAGACCAAAGGATGTGATCAGCGTCCTGGTAACCTTGTCCACATTCACAGAGATTGCTGTCTCCC